TCGATGTTGGCCGCTGCTCAGGGCCGGGGAGGAGATCCCGTGACTGGAAAAAAAAAAAAAGGGGGGGGGGGGGGAGAAAAAAACAAAAATGGGATGGCTCCTTCGTTGGGATCGAGCCAGACCGGAAGAGGCCCAAAGGGGGTCGGAACCCCAAATCAGGGCAGACGCCTTTTTTTCCACACGGACCCGTTTCGGGGCGGGACCACAGGTCTGACCCAGTTCTGAGGCAGATTTCTGTTTTGAATTGTGGTTCAGAAAGATTTCTGCACAGTCATCGAGACACTTATCTGAAACATGACCCCTGGCGTGTTCTGTACAGTACAACCTCTACTTACGAATTTAACTGGTTCCAGGACCGACTTCTTACGTTAAAATATTGGTATGTTGGTTCAAATATTCCCATCAGGATAAACTGTAATTCTTATAATTCGTTCCACAGCCCAAAACCCATGATAACTCCTTAATAAATACTGTAGATGATTACGCATAGCAATAAAACAAATGTATTTTATAAGAGATATGTAAAAAGAAATAAATTATAAAGAAATAATCAATAAAAAGGGTTTTTTATGGGGACTTTGTGGAGGTACAGGACGAACCCTAACTTACTCTGACTTTCACTACCTGAACTTTTAACTAACATAGCTTATTTATTTTTATTCATTTTTATATTTTATCTATTTTTTTTCTATGACTTCGGTATGTTTCCAACATCAGTATATGTTGGAAATTTACTTCGGGTGTCGGGGCGAGTATTTATAATTGTTTAAATTAATATTTGTTTATGCATTTATGTTTAAACATAAACAAATATTATAAATACCATTATAAATACTCGGCTCGACACCCGAAGTAAATTTCCAACATACGTATGTTGGAAACATACAGAGGTCATAAGAAAAATAGATAAAATATATATTTTAAAATAATATTTGATCGACTATCACTTCAGATGTTGTGAAACGTGTACGTTTAGTTATCGTAAATAGAGTTTCTGCTGTCCTTCTGCAGCCGGAGGCCCCACGATGCTGCCTTTAGCTCTGCTGGCCGCCTGCCTGAGCGCGGCCCTCTCGGCCCCCAGCCTGGACCCACAGCTGGACCAGCACTGGAACCTCTGGAAGAGCTGGCACAACAAAGAATACCACCAGGTAATGTATGGAGGAGGGTTTCAATTCAATTTTATTTATATAGCGCCACATCACAACAACAGTTGTCTCACAGCTTTCCAAACAGAGCAGGTCAGACCCTACTCTGAAGATAATTACAGAAACCCAACAATTCCCACCATGAGCAAGCACTAGGCGACACAGGCAAGGAAAAACTTCCTTTTAACAGGCGAAAACCTGGAGCAGAACCATGGCTCAGGGTGGGGGGTGAGAGAAAGAGAGGGCAAGAGAGAGAGAGAGAAGGACAGAGGGAGCAGAGAGAGGCAGCCAACACAGCAACACATAGACTAGATGAAAAATGGCAATGATATTAATACTAATGATGATGATGGTAGAAGTTATGACGGCAACAGAGCAGGAACACAGGGGCAGCAGGAAACTCCCAACCACAGATGTTTATGTTTATGCATTTGGCAGACGCTTTTATCCAAAGCGACTTACAGAGTAGACACAATATTACATTTCTTATCACTATGACGGATCCAGACCCCACAGATCTAGGAACAAGCTCTAGCTCCTTCAGGCGTGGGGCCCCGCCATATTTCCATGAAGTAATTAGGATTTTCTTGCCTGGGATCTTCCTATTGGTGACCTAATCAAAATGTCCGACTTGGATGTGGGGGGAGTTGGATATGTACTTGATTAATGGTAGCATGTTATTATTAGCCATTAGCCGCAGGTAGCAAGGCTAACGTTTTGTTAATGATCATAAACAACGTAAATAAATACATAAATAAATCAGAGAGAAGGGGACGCGTGGTATCGATACTTTTAAAAATGAGTATCGTATCCGGATACAACATTTTAGTATCCATACTTTTTCGAGTATCGATACTTTTGACAACCCTAGGCGTGGGGCCCCGCGGCCCTCCCCCAGACCGGTCTGACCGGGTGTTTATTCCACAGAAAGAGGAGGGCTGGAGGCGGATGGTGTGGGAGAAGAACCTGAAGAAGATCGAGATGCACAATCTGGAGCACTCCATGGGGAAGCACACCTACAGACTGGGCATGAACCACTTCGGGGACATGGTGAGGGCACGGAAACCCCCCCTGATGTGATGGGGGGGGGCAGAGATAAGCGACCAGAACGATGCTTATCATTTAGCGTTAACTGTAACTGTGATTTTCATTTGAAAAAACAAGGAAAATTATGCCAATTTGGTAAATAAAGGTCAAATTGACTGTCCTTACATACACAGATGAGCTCATTATTTAGTTTCCCACCCAAATAAAAGTCAAAATGTTGGTGGACAGGCTCTTGGACCACCACAGGAACCTGTGTAATCAATCATATTACATGTATATTTACACATTTAGTCTATTCTGAATCATCATCAACTATATCTGAACATTTCCTCCATGTTGATTCAAGAAATCAACATCGAAATTCCAAAAAATAAACACAGATGGAGGAATGATATGACGATATTTACAGAATTATCCATAATTTCACCATTGATTTGCTTCTGTTTGTGATTTCAAAACCATTTAAAGCTGTCTAGAGGAATGAATTCCAAACATATAAAGGAGAGGTTAAATACCTTCTGGTGGAAGAAGTATTTTAGAGGCTCCACGACCAGAAGAAGATGAGCTCATTATTTAGTTTGCAGCCCAAATAAAAGTAAAAACGTTGGCTTTCCCCTCCAGAACAGCGTCCCTAACTCCCCTGACCTTTTTCCCGCAGACTAACGAGGAGTTCAGGCAGATCATGAACGGCTACAAGCGCAAAGCGGAGAAAAAGGTCCGGGGCTCCCTGTTCCTGGAGCCAAACTTCCTGGAGGCCCCCCGGGCCATCGACTGGAGGGAGAAGGGCTACGTCACCCCCGTCAAAGACCAGGTCAGAGCCCTTATTTGGGTCTATAAAAGCTGCACCCAAAGACCCGAAAACGCCGGTAAACACTAGGGTTCACAAAATCCACGGTTCGGTTTCGTGGTCACGGTTTTCAGTTCGGTTCGGTATATGTTGATTGTTAGGAAAAGCTATTATGTCTTGTATAGTCAGGTTAAAACTGAAAGACAAAATCAATCTGACATTTTATACATTATTGTGACAGTCTGAGGTTAAAAGTGGGTGAGATTCTGCCAGAGAGGAAACAGTGCTAATTCCAACATGAGCTTCCCTCTAAATGCAAACTGGTCCATACAGCAGACCTGGAAACTGCTGCTGGGTCTGATTTTTATCGGCTACGCTGCTTCTCTTCTTCTTCTTGTTTCCTACTGGTGGTTGGCTTTGGGCGCAGTAGCGCCCCCTTCTGCTCTGGAGTGTAAACGCTTCCCTCTGAGAAAAAGGAGCAGCAGGAACCGAACGCAACACACGCGAACCGAACCGAGACAGAACCCAACGGTTCAGACGGTTTTCAGAAACCTAGTAAACACGGCTCAAATCCCTTGAAACTCGTAGATTTCTTCTTTTTTTTCAGTAACTCATTGGCTGCCAAAGACGTCTATAGACGTCTTTTATGTTTTTTAACGAGAGTGGCTGGGGGACGATCTGCTAAAGCTTGTCCATAAATATCGGCTTCTAGACAGAGTATGTAGTAACAAATTGACCCTCTAGGGGGCAGTGCCACTTTTGATGGGAGATGAGCATAGACTGTAGGCAAATAAGAAAAAGCTAACGGTTCTATGAGAGAACATGTC